GAATAAAAGTTCACACTGAACTCCTAACTCCATAAATGTCATTACAGCAGGCTTTCTTTTTGCTAAAGTTAACACAGAGATGTGGTAAAATCCTGTGCATTTTATGAAGTTATTTAACAGTGAAGAAATTTAAACTAATGTCCAAAACACTATAGAATTCTTTTAAAATCACTGAGTGCCAAGTGCCAAGCAAGTGGAGTTATTAGCAGTGATGATCAACTGCAATCGGGAACTCCTTACTGCTGTCTTGCAAGGCAGATGTCAGTGTAAACAAACAAGCTCTGCAGCCGGGAACCCAGAACCAAGCCTCCGCTGACCCACATTGGCTTTCATGCTCAGTAGAAACCTTAGGTTTAAAGTCGTGATTCGTCCCACACACTGACATGAACAATCACAAGTAAATCTACCACTGAAAGTTCAACAGAAAGTTGAAACTCAGTTTTTCTAGAGAGATAAATAAATCTTAAAAATACTTTACAATGCTTTTGACAGATAGGAAAGACATGCTGAGGAATCACAAGACAACTAGTTGCCTCTTCCAGAGGAGACTAGACCTCAGGGTCAACTCCAGTGGGAACATCTGGGTGCCACTTCTAAAGTCATCCTCATCCGCTCAGGGCTATTTAGACTCCTTGTTGTGCATCGGACAAGCAGATAAAAAGGAGCTGGGGTTCTTTAAGAGAAACTCCTCCCCATCCTATCCAAAACCATAGCTCTCTAAAGAGTAGCCTGGATCCTCTTTCTGCCTATAGAATGCATCACAAAAAGGGAGCTTATGTCTATAGGGCAATAAAATGCCCTGTTCCTAGGAAAACTGCTTGGGGACAAAGGGACGGAAGGAAATAAAATTATAGGTAAGCATGATGATCTACTCTATTTAAAAACAAAAAGAAATTTTGAAAATTCAATATCAGACACTAAAATAAATATTCCAAGCTAAAGCCAAGTGAGGTACTGGGCAAAAGCATTCGGGGGCCCCAATGGCATCTTTCTGTCTTCTGGGGGATTAAAGATTGGTTGGCAGGGATACCCCAGAATGAACGCAGTCTGCTCTTCTCTATACCTAGCAGGATTCAGCAGAACTTGGGCTCGCCCCCAGAAGTCTCCTCCTGGGATGGCCAAAAGACAAGACCAGGAAGCAAAAGCAGTCAATGATATAGACGGAGAATGTCACAGCAGCATTTCACAAAAGATAGATAAATAAGATAGAGTTGCCTGCATAGACCTACAAATAGAGGTTACTCACAGAGATTACTGTAGCTCCAGCAGTTACCCATTGATCTTAGAAAATGCCCAGTTCATCAGTTTAACGCTTGAGAAAAGTTAACGAGAGAAGAAGCAGCAAGCTAATGCAAAATGGGCTGTTCTAGTCAACTGGAAGCAAATTAGTTTCAAATTTCCTGGAGGCCCCTCTTGCCCTGCCCTGCACACGGTGATGTAAATGGAAGCACTTTGAGCACTTGGAACCAGAGCCGAGCCAGCCGAGCCCAGGAACTGCAGCCTCAGCCCCTCACAAAGGCAGAGCAGTCTGCTCTCCGGCTGTGCGTGCTCAGCCTCAGTCGCTCTCTACCTTGGTAGCTTACCGAAAACAGCCACTGTAGGGCTTTTCTATAATTGTGAAAACTACTTCCAGGGAGATAACTGAGATGCCGGGAGTTAGCGTTAATGTAAACCATTCCCCCGGTGCAGCAGCAGGAAGCCGGCAGGGGCTCAGAGAGGATCGTACCATCCTGGGTGACATCAGAGGTGGGGCTGTCATCCTAGGATTATGCAGCATTTTCTCTGATGCCGGAATGACACACGTGAACCGAGACGGGCTGGTTCCCTTTAAAAGCATTTAATTCTCACGCTGTTCCAACGGAAGAGGCAAATGCAAAAACACAGCCCAGAAGCTGCTTCCATGACATCAACCCCGAGCTGACAGTCCTTATCTCACTTGTAAGTGCTGCTGTCACCCAGTCATTTTACTAATGATTACATTACGGTTCCTCTGATAAATTAATATTTAATGGGCAATTGATAGCGCTTGGAAATATGACATGAAAAGATTGAAAGACGTTACGATCCAGTTTTAAAAGCAATGGCATAAACTTTTACATCGCTAATAGTACTTTGGATGCGTACAACACTTTTCAAGCAATCTCAGTAAAAGCACTCATTTTATAAATAATATGAGACTAAATGCATGATCAAAAACATAATACTGACCCTTGGGCTTGGTATAAATATGAAGAATAATCTCATCTTAGGCTTAGAGTGTTCCTCTGTGCTAGACCACTCACCTATCCCCAGGGTTGATCCCCAGCACTGAAAAATTAGAAAGTAAGTAACCCTTCTTCAATATCATTAATATTCTTATCAGCATGAGAAGCAAAGACACTTCAAGGTTATTTCTTTCCTATTCTATACACTCGGTGAGCAGCAACGAACCAGGTGCCAGAAAACATGTTCGCTTTAATTCAGAATGTCCATTTTTATAAATAATCTATTAGATTGGAAACTGTTTAGGAAGACACCACACTAAGCAGGTTCATTTTGTGAATTCATCTAATCCTTCCAGCAGCCTCTGGGATAGCTACTCTTATTAACCCATTTTATAGATGAGACCACTAACATACAAAAGAGGTGTGAGTCATCTCAGACCAGGTGAGTAAGACTGGACCACTGGAACTCAAACACGGCACTATGGCTCTAAAGTCCACCCTCTGTACCACTAAGCTATACCCCTTCCAGAAGCCTGAATGCCAAAGAAAGAATTATAAAAGAAGATTATTATTTTTCAGGGTTTGAAAGTATAGCAAACCAAATAGGCCCATCCCTCAAGAAGACTAATTCATAAACAGGAGGACAAAGATTAGATGGCGTACCCAGGGACAGCAGACTAAGTAACAGAAATAAAGCTCAGAAGTTCAGCCTCACAGCTGACAGCCTGTCTTACATTGGGGAAATGGCTTAAGATCTCCCAGCTTTAGTCTCTTGACCTCTAAGCTAGGGATGCTTAGCTTATTGATTAGTATAACACTGTGGTAAAAGCACATGATCTGGTCTTGTAATCTAGACTTCATTACCTTATAACTATGTCACTTTAAGAAAGTTATTTCACCTTTATAGTCCTCAGCCTCTTCATTCAAAAACCATAAATAGGGTTATTCTAAAGATTAAATAAAGCATGCATACAAATAAACCACTCAGATGAGTGGTTTTACTATATCTCCTACTATATCCAGTAAAAGCTCAGCAGTAATAATTATAACAATAATTACCGATAACTTCTATTTCTTGGGGTAGGGGCAGGTCTCACTAAATAGCCCAAGATGGTCATAAACCCCTCATCTTCCTGCCCCAGTCTCCTGACTATTGAGTGTACAGGTGTGTGCCACCATGACTAGCTTATTTTGAACTAAACTGGCCAGTTCTTCCCTTTCCAAAACTCTCACTAAGGAAACCTGGTAGGATTATTTTTTCCAGAGGAGGGTTACTGGAAAGGCAGAAAGAACAGCCTTTGTTGACCTCATCCAAATATTAACCAGTCCACAAATCACCAGTTCCCAATGAGATGCGATCTGAAATTGGTGGCAGCCATCCAAGATTCCTTACACAGAGAGAGAGACGAATAGACACCCTATGCTCCCCTTTTTCCTTAAGCATGCACTAGAGAAGAGGGGACCAGTATTGAAGCAGTCATCCCGAATGACGAGCATCCCACCAGGTAGAAAAGCAAAAAAGAACCCCATCAAATACCCACCAAAGAATCTTGCAGCCCTATTATCCTTTGTACGAGAGGGAATAAACTCAAGTTATCTCACTTCAGTTTTCTAATATATGTAACTTACACCATCTTAACTGACTCACAATCAAAAGCTCAGTGGCTGGCTGAGGTCTGGGCTATATCCCAGTACTTCCCTTCTATTAAATGCTCTTAGTATACTTCTTTTCTGAAGCAAGTCTAAAGCAAGTCTAACTGCAATCACCAAACATGTGGAAATGGAGTCTGGAGAGCTCTGGGTCCATTTGGTAGGATTCCTATTATATATGACTTGATGCACTCTGGTAGTCAACATAATACAACTCATCTGCAGTTACCTTGTTTTCTCTCCTGGTTCTAAAATCAGAGTCTAACTTTAGACTTCTACCTCAGATGTCTGGCTTAGCAGGTTTACAGGTACTTCTGAATTTACTAATGATTGAATTTTCTTTCTTTCTTTTTTTTTCTGTGACATAGTCTCATTAGATCCAATGTTCCCAGTCAATAGAAGAGTGAGGTAGACCGAAGCTTAGGAGAAAAGTCTGGTCTGGACACCTAAGACGACCATGTGGAGTCATGATTATGACTAGTAGTATCAGTGTAGAGACTTACTGGAATGTCATTTCATGACTGCAACATATAGTTACATGGGATATCTGTCAGTTTTCATCTTAAATCAACTTTGTGAGGCAAGTGTCTCACGTTTCCCCACAGTTACTAACTATTTTAATTATACTGAAAAACTAATTGCAAAATTTGATTTCAAGCTTGGTGTAATTTTAGAACTCAGAGACTAGGAGAACACTGTGAGTTTGAGGACAGTGTGGACAACATGTCCATGGCATCTATGTTTAATCTAGTGGCTTGTTCTGTCCTCTGATCTTCAGGCAAATTTTATTAGAGTACACAATATATCACCACATTTCCTTTTTTGTCTAGAATAATAAAAGGTTACAATATAAGAAAAACTATATACAATAAGTACAGTAAGTGTATATAATATATACAGTCAAGAATTACATTAACAATGTCCAGTCCATTAACATTTGACATATTCAGAGAAAATACTCCATTATTGATCCTATTTTGGTGAGTCCAAAATGTACCTAATTCACTTTCTATCCTAACTTGTATTAAACTGAAAACTATCTTTTGAGGTTTTTGAATTTACACACTTTCCACCTCTTTAGTGAGTTTCTTTTTTGAATTTGTTAACAAGGAAAACTATAACTATCTAATCTTCAGCTCCCTCGGAGACCCAAGAAGGAAATGATATTAACTGAGTAAGGAGGAAGTGCAAACAACTGACTTCCAAAAAAAGTGAGAATTTTCCAACATGGCAGAAACGATCATAGGTTGTAAGAAGCCCTCTGCAATTTTAATGAAGGGCTGATAGATCTGAATGGAAAGGTCGCTTAGCACCTGCCTACATTCAGTGAGGTCAAAGTTCTTGAGATGGTGCTCATTCCGCTTTGGAGTGCTCTGTGTCATGAAGGCCTCACCCACACCGTACTGCTTCAAACTGTGAAGGAAGCGGCAGGTGTCAGATAACCGGAATGTCATCTCAAAGACGTCATTGTGTTTCTTGAGGACTTTCTTAATCCATTGATGGTGAAGCTCAGCCACGAGTGTACCTTGAGGTCATCGTTGGTGTAATCTGCATGCCTGATACACATGTAGAGGATGTATGCAGGCCGACAGGGCACAGTGCCGACAGCATCTGGGGCTTCAGATCTGTAACCGGGTTCCGGATGAGGAGGGCCTCGTCCTCTCTGTGGTACTCCAGCATGCCTTGGAAGTCCTTCTCTTTTCTCTGGACTGTGACCTCTCTTGTGAGTTCGTGGTGCCTCCTGTCACTCTGGGCCAATGTTTTTCGTGTACTTCAGCTGCTTTTTCAGCTTCCTCTCATTCTTTTCCTGCTTTTCTACCAATTCTTTAAAATCTAGGTTCTCATGGGTGAGTCGAGTTATCTCCTGCTGGACCCCAAACTCTACCTGGACCTGTGGGAAGAGCAGCAGGGTCTGGCAGAAGGTCTGCTGCTGCTTGTCCATCTCCTCTCTCAGGGCCTCCACCTGGGCCTTGAGATATTCCACCTCTTCTCATGCTCCAGGCTCTGGGCCTGCAGCTGTGCCTAGAGCAACCTGTTTGTCCGGCAGACACCACGATAGGCCTCAATGGCATCTCCCTGGTCCACATGTTTTTCACTGTTGGACCAACTTGTTCTGGCATTGATGTTTGGCTCCATATGCTTGCCAGCCAGTCAGCGCTGGTCAGTGTTCATGATCCGGGTCCTGAGGATCAGCACCTCCTCTCTGCGGACCTCCAGCTCCTCATTGGCCAGCTTGAGCTGATTCAGTAGAAGACTGCAGCCGTCTGCGGAGCTGTGAGTGGAGTTGTCCTGCATGGACAACTTGGCCAGTGACAGCTTTCCTCAGCTCATTCATGTTGTTCTTCAGCTTCTTGTTCTCCAGCTCAAGCTCTTGTCTCGTCAGACTGTTGTAGGCCAGATGTGCATCCTGGTCCACATCGCAGCCATTGTTTTGTTGTTCCATCTGTTCTTTCTCGCTGTCCTGCTGCTCCTTTTCTAGCTGCGCCTGCAGCTCCTTCCTCTCCTGCTCAAGTTCCCACACTCTCTTCTGCAGCTTCAGGAAGACGGTCATGTCCATCGCTTCCTTTGCTACACCAATCTCCTCCACCTGCTGAAGGGCATCCTCAGTGTCTCCAATCTCAGAAGTGGAAATGGAGGGGTAATGGGAATCAGATTCTAAGCTACTTTGATTTGATGGGTTCTTCCTGTAGCCCGAAGTTTGCTCGTCTCAGAGGTTCTCATATCTCTGCTCCAGCCGGGAGTATTCCTTCAGGAGGTTCTGGTACCTGAACCTCTCCTCCTCCAGCTCCTTCTTCATCAAGAGGTTCTCCTCCACAGACTCTGGGAAGATTCAGCTTTTGATTGGCCCAGGATCTGTTTATTAAGGTGTTTCTCGTCCTTTGAAAGAGCATTTTCATGTTCCAGGTCTGCAACTCACTTTCTCAGCTCGCCATTCTCCCTGCTGTGGGCATCCCCTAAGACCCTGTGCTCCGACTTGGCCTTCTGTAGTTCAGTGTGCAGGCTCTGCACCTCCTCCTGCAGCTGCAGGCTGGCATCAGCCTCCTGGTTCTGCTGGTAATGTGCCAGCTCCCTCTTCAGCTTCTCCACCTCCATGGCATGTGTGGAAGTAACTGCAAACTGCTCTGACAGAGTCTTGAAGTCTTTGTTCCGGGTCATCAATCTTCTGCTGTAGCTGGACCACTTTGTTCTCCATGCCCACATTGAGGTGTTTCAAATGTTCTATAGAGCAGGCCTCAATCTTGAGAGCCTTCAGCTCCTGCTTGGCCTTGAGCATCTGGAAGGCACACTGGATGATAGATAATGGCTGCATCCCACTGCTGCTGGAAATGTCTATGTGCCACCCAGCCCCAGGCATACTTCTGGACGATGGTGGCTTTGTGCTCCTTGAGGACTTGGAGGTAGTTTCTTCGCACAAACATGACCCGAGTGAAGGACTGGATGATGTCTGCAGCCCAGCAGACTCTCCGGTAGGCCAGGCAGGTCCGCTGTATCTGGTACTGCTTCTGGAACACTATGGCTGCATGGGTTCTCCACAGGTGCTCAGCCAGCCTGTGGGCCAGGTGTCCTCTGTAGAGCCTCTGCGGGGTTAAGGTAGCTGCCCTCAGCCTACAGTACTTTACTTTCTGCAGCCAGCCCATGACTGTCTTCTGGATCATGATAGTGGCTTCCTGGAACTTATCTGCCTGAAGCTTCTCCAGGTAAGCCACCTGGCCTGCCCGGAAGAAGATCTTGGTGCAGCCAAACGGAAATTGCCTGGATCCTTGATGAGACTCTCATCATGTCCATCGCTCCCAAACTCGCTCTTCTTCATCCACACCTGATACCAGTTGAAGAAGTCATGGGAGGTCCACTTGGGTGGGTAGCCAGCTGCGCTGATCTTAATGGTCTCCAATACTCTGCAGGCCCTGAGCTGCTGCACGGTCAAAGTGGAAGAGGAGATTTTCGTCACTGGGCTTGAGGCATCGAATGTAGTGTGGAGTTGTGGCATTCAGGGTCTCCATAAGCAGGTTTAGGGAAGTGCAGAACTGGCAGCCCACGGATTTCTTGTGCTCCTTGTTGGAGACCTATTAAGGTCTCCAACAAGGCGTCTGGAAGAACGAATGTTGATCTTTGAAGATGATCAATTCTTAGTTGTGTTGGTGGCAGGAACAGAGTCCTTGTCATCACAGAACAAGTGGGAACTTGCTGGCCTTCAGGATGTTGATCTGCTCTTCATATACCATATCCCTATTTTTCTCCAGAAAACCATCTGAAAGGTACTCTACCTTGTCCTTGCAAAATGGATGACAATGAAGGCTGTGTTGGACATGCGCGGTTTCTGGGAGTGCTGGCTGTTGAAGTGTCGTTCACAGAGCTTCTGGGCCCAGTCTTGATCAGCTCCTTTGGGGACCTTACACACTTCATCCAACACCTTGGCTTCTATGAAGTCTGTGCAAGGTTGGTTATTATAAAAGCCAATCAAGGTCCATGGGATCTGCTCTGTCCTGTATTCTTCTTGCTCCAGCTTGAACAATATACCAATTGAACTGTTGCTGGAGCTGTCCATTGGCACAGTTGACACAAAACTTCTGGAAGCTGGTACTCTTGGTCTCAAACCCATAGATATCCAGGACCCCAAGGAAGGAGTGCTGCTTAAGGGACGGGGAGTGCGGGCCTTGCTGATGTGCTCCTCAATCCAGGAGAACACCTGGGCGCAGGTGTGCTTGGCCGGGGCAGCACGTGCCTTGACCACCTGCTGCAGGGACATGGTCTTGACCTAGGTCGCTGAGGTGGTGACCAGCTTGTGATGGCACAGTCAGTGCTCCATCTGACTGTGCCCCACTCCCAGCAGGCGGCAGACGTTGCCTAAGTGTTTGTCCTGGGGTGGTTATGCTGCAGGAATCCCATCATGCTCGGCCTGAATCTCCACACTTCCCAGGTGCAAAATGGAAGCAATTACCTTAAAGATGCTCATCTGATGAGACTCCAGCACTCCAAAAAGTGTGAAGGCCTGTCGAGCCTTCTCAAAGTCCTCTGCCTCATCAACACTCTCGATGGTCATGTTTCCTCCACGGGATGTGTAGAAAAAGTCCTCTGCACATGTTAGAGCAAGCTCTTTAAATTCAGGAAGGCTGGCAACTGCACAAAGCTGGTAAAAGATGTGGTAATTCCTCTCATCATCAGCCTGAAAGACCACCCTGGACTTCTCCAGCAAGTACATCCTCATGTTGGCTCTGATGACGACGTGGTACTTTTTATCAAAGACAATCCCAATGAACTTCCCAAAGTGCTGCTATTGTTGTTGTAAGTGGTCTTGGCATTACCTAATGGCCTTCATGATGGGACTGGATGCCAGGACCTTCTCTTCAATGTTGATGTCACTGGCTGAGCCACCAACCCTGGCAAAATAGCACATGGCATACTTGGCTGACACAGTCTTCTCTGCTCCAGACTCTCAGCTGACTATGATCGATTGGTTCTCTTCATCTCTGGCCATCTGCTTATAGGCTTCTTCTGCCATGGCAAAGACATGGGGGTCCATGTCACCCATATTTTGGCCACTGTAGGCATAGATGACATCTTGTCCATAGTTTGGCAGCTGCTCATATGGATTGATGGCAACAAGCACAATACACAATAAGTGTAGATGTGGTTGGACTCCAGGAAATGGACCTTTAGGTTTTGCAGAACTGCAGGCTCATGGAGATGGCTGAGTGCGTAAGGTCATTTTCTCCTACTAAGATATCTGGATCCATAAGAATCGCAACTATTACTTTGGACATGATTTGAATATTCCCAAATTGTGTGTCATCTTCCAGTCAGCTGCAGACTCTTATTCCCCCTCTTTGTATTCCTTGGTTAATTCAGCAGAACACCACACTTCATCTGGGTCAGGGATCCTGACCCTTGTAGAGCTCTCTGTATGACATGTCCCCGCAGGCCCGAGGAGGAGCCAGGGGTGCCTCTCGGGATGCTGGGTCAGGGCTCTCAGAGGCCTGGCTCCTCACTCCCCTGTGCACTCTTGGTGCACCAGTGCACTGCTGCTGGTGCAATCTTCCGGACTGGTCCCGGTTCCTCCGCGCTCCTTTCTCGGTGGACTGACCTGCTGGCTCGCTCCCGATCCCAATCCCCTGCAACCTTTACTCCCTGGGGAGTGGCAGAGGGGGTGCGGTGGTCAGGAGTGGCCGGAGGGCGGAGAGAAGGCGCGCTGCTCCAGGCTCATACTTCAGGTCTCCCTGTTTGTCTTCACCATGACTATAGTCATTTTCTTGATGTCTCGTGCATCTGTGCTCTTATACTTCTCTAGAGCACAGAGTATTCCTTAGAAATTAACACTCTTAACCACAAACCTGACGAATGATATCCTCCACTGCGCCTAGTTTTCTACATCTTGTAGCTGGGAGCACGCCTTTAATCCCAGCACTTGGAAGGCAGAGGCAGGTGGATCTCTGTGAGTTCGCAGCCAGCCTGTTCTACAGAGTTATAGAGTGAGACTCTGTCTTGAGGGAAAAACGAAAAGAGAAAAAATAATCATGGTAAGTATCACTATCCTTTCTAATCAGTCATTTTCTGTATGCTTGTACGGTGTGTGTTGAGCGCCATACTTCTGATGGCAATGTTGTCACCACTGTCCAGTTTTGTGCCTCCCTTCCCCAAAGCAAAACTAAACAGAGATTGGAAACCGATTCCCTACATACTGACGTTAAATCTGTAATTCTTTAACTCAGGGATCAGCACTTTCTCCTTAAAAGATCAGATAATTGTCATGCATACTGGCACAGGCCTATAAGCTGAGCACTTGAAAAACAGAAGGAAGCCTGCCATGAGTTCTAAGCCAGCATGGACTACAGGAGGCCAACAGAGGCTACATAACAAAACCCTATCTCAAAAGCAAATAGTTTAAGCTTTGGGGTCTCCATAGTAATAACTCTGCCAAAGTAGCAAAAGCAGCCATAAACCACAGTAGATTAACACAAGACTACACTCCAATAAGACAGTACCTACAAAGGCCACAGAACTGGCCCAAGGGCCATACCTAGCGTGCCAGCTCCTGCTTGACCTTATTATTAGAGCCCTTCAGTGACTGGACCATTAACTCTTTCACTTATTACTCTCACTACTGCATTCTTTCTGGCTTTCTGCATTAAAAAAGAGAGTGGGGGGGGGGAACACAGAGTAGCTCAGTAACTTATAGCCAGTACCAGAAGCCAGGATGCCAGGATGAAGGGTCCATTCTGTTAAAGAAAGAGAATGCTGCCTCTCCAATGGTCAACTGTGAGCAACATAGTCACTTCCAGATCTTTGCTCCAAGTTATTTCCCTATATGTAACTATGCTCCACTCTTCCCATCCCCATAACAAATCGTATCCCTCATTTTACTGAGCCCTAATACATGTGGCCTGCACTTTTACCTGAGGCCCTTTCATTGTCATGATTTTATATTGTCTTGCTTAGTGACCTTTATCTCACTGGCCTAGGCTGTCTATGTAACATCCTAGATAACTACCATAGCATCTTACCATCCACAGCCATCCGTGGATATATAGGCATGAAACAATTCTAACCCTCTTCATGTTTATAAAGATTAAAGAAAGTTCTCTCTTCATAGTAATTATACCATTTTTCAAAAGAAAAAAAGTATAGGCTAATCCTTTTGATCTTCCCAGCATGAGGTCTTCTAAAATCAACTGCAATATCATATTTTCATGGGAACTACTCTGAAACACCTATTTTGTAATTTTATAGTAAACATCCTAGAGGAATGATTAACTTTGGATTTCTAGGACTAGGAAGATATAACTTAATCCTTAAACCGTTTTCTGCTACCTAGATCTAAGAGAAATCACACTGAAAACCCTTTCAATCTTCCTCCTATAGATAATACACACAAATATTTATACAAAGTTTGCATAAAAGGGCTTATTTTTAAAAAGCTAAAAAAAAATGCCTCAGAAGGTCTCATATTATCTGCTCACAGCCTAAATTAAATTTCCATTTTGATATAAGACACTTATAGAAATTTCACTGTATTAAAAGCATGTGGCAGTTTGTTTTAGATGCAAACTATTATACTCTAGTATCAAAAAACATAAACAAGGGCTGAAGAGATGGCTCAGTGGTTAAACACTGACTGCT